CCCAATGTTTTTGCGCGTTTAGTTAAATATTTACTTCTAAAAAACATCCCCACTTATAAAAAAACTATTTAATGTTTTCTTCTACATACGTATGTACATCAGTGTAAATCTAGGTCCTGACGCGGTTATGTGTGCATAATATTGTATGAAAATTCTCTTACTCAGTTCTGAAATTCCGGGGCTTCAGGCAACCAAGTCTTCTAACTTCACAACTAGGCGCCTTAAAGTATCGCACCACTTTCCACACAATGCAACGCTCGTAGTTCCTGTTCCTTTTCATTTTTGTATATGTATGTATCTACAAATGCATGTGGTCGAAAAACAAAAAAAAAAATCACACAATTCAAGACTATCTCAAAGCACAATTGAATTTTTAATGAAAATTAGAAAATATCAACTTGAAAAGGGTTAAAAGTTATTCATCACTTCTACCTTGTTTAATATGCCTTGCCAATACGCAGTTGGCACGATCTCTGAGAAGCAAATCATGGAGCTCTTTATAGTTTTAATATATTTTAAATAGATTTGGATCACAAAATTTCTTAAATATATTGTATGTCAAAACATATTCGGAAGACTGCACTTAAAGCTCTCTTAAACGTTTTCTGCACCTGGCCAGTTTTCTAAGCTCTCATCCTCTGACGAATCGTTCAACCAGAAATCCGTTGCACTAATTAAATTTTTTTAACCACGATTTTATAAACTCACTTTCTTTTTTATTTCATTTTAATTTGCACAAATTTACATATGTACATATGTATAAGCACACTATTTAGTTTGCTCGGTTTGTAAACAAAGCTTTTCAGCGATGAAAAATATACTACTGTGAACAGCCTCAACGAGCCAAATTCACAATAGCTTTATTCTTCATCGAATGAGCGCCATAATACCAAATGAAAATTCCTTCGATCAGCACTTTCGACCACAGTCGAAGATCGAATGCAACTCATAATAGGGGCCTTTATTAAAATAAAACTAAAAATTGTTATTTACTAACAAGTTAAAATTGAAGCAAATTTTCAAATATCGTTATCTCGAAAACTGGAGATGATCTGAAAAAATGGGGCAGCCTTTATATTTAGAATGTCCCAATTAAGTGAGATCCACTATCAAAATCTTTGCCTAATACCCCTATTGCGAGTGTCGACTAGTAGTAGATAAAGGACTTTTGTCGATTATCGATTATCCATGGTATTTTGAATGTCGATTTCTCGTTCAATAAGAGAGGGCAAATAGCTTTTATGCGCTCATCCTTCTACAAACAAATAAAAATCCCCCCCTAAAAACTTTTCACAGCCTCTTATTGAACGAAAAATCTAAATTCATAATACCATGGAAAGTCGATAATCGCATAATAGTCGTTGTATCTATTACTAGCCCACTAGGGTGTAAGATTTCAACTTGCACAGTGTCATAAATAAAAAAATAATATTTATTAGTTTTTTTATTATAATAAACTCTGTTGAATTTTGCCTAATTTTTCTCAATAAAAATTTAAAACAATTTAAAAAATTACTTTATTCAACGGCACAATATTTGTAGCTAGGCTATCGACAAACTGTCAAAGCTACCGACAATATTCGCTAAAAGTGTGCTTGAGTAACGTTAGCTAACGATACGAAAATTGTCGCTAAGAAAAATGGAAATCGCACTACAGATTCGGCCTCCTCTATCCCACAGAGGCTCAAACGGTGGTCGGCGAAATATCTGAGAGGTCGACACTCGCCGGTAATGTATAGAGACAAATCGAGCAAACTCAGAAATATAAAACAGGGGGTTCCACAGGGTGGTGTCCTTTCCCCTACTACTGTTTAACTTTTATATTTCAAAGCTCCCTCAACCACCAGAGGGAGTCTCGATTGTCTCTTATGCCGACGATTGCTCGATCATGGCGTCTGGGAATAGAATTGATGGCTTGTGCTCGAAAGTAAACGGGTATCTCTCCGAGCTTTCTCGCTTCTTCACTGCAAGTAGCCTAACCCTCTCCCCTACAAAATTCTCTGCGACCTTCTTCACCACCTGGACGAAGAAGATCAGACTGAAACTGGGAATTCACGTCGATGATACACCAATTCCGACGGTTAATAACACCAAAATACTCGGAGAAACATTCGACAGTCTGCTCTCCTTCTCTGCGCACGCAACCGCTATTGTCAACAAAGTACAAAGCCGCAACAAGGTCGTCAAGTCGCTAGCCGGCAGTAATTCAGACAAAGACAAGGAAACGTTGCTGGCAACATGCAGGCCAGCCGGTTTTAAATTACGCAGCACCAGTGTGGTCGCCGGGCACTAGTAGGACGCAGTGAATGAAGCTACAGACTCCAAAACTCTGCACTAAGGACAACGACTGAATGCTTTCTGATGTCACCAGACCACCACCTGCACGACGAGGCGAAAATGCTACCAATAAAGGAGCTCTGCAAGCAGTTTCTAGTTGGAAGCCACAGACGTGGTCACCCAAATAGACAACTGCTTGCCGAAGAGCCCTCACCCAGGCACGTCAGGAGGCATCTCTACGAACTGACGGACGAAGTCCAGAGGTACATTAAGCAACCTCTGGAACCGTCAGCATACCGACAGGCCCTGAACGGCATTCACAGGGTCAGTCAGTTATGTAGATGCCGTGAATGTGAATGCCGTTCTAGGCGCACAACCACTGGACATCGACGAGACGGATCTTCACCTGCCTCGGGAGACTAGAACCCCAATTGCCCAACTTCGCTCTGGCTACTGCAGCAGGTTAAACTCATACCTGAGCAGTATAGACGCAGATGTGCCAAATAAGTGTCCGGCATGCGGAGACACCCCACGACTAGAAAAATCTCTTCGTATGCCCGGAAAACCCGACAACACTAACGGCTTTGTCCCTGTGGACCGACCCCATTGTTGCTCCACGCTTCTTGGGGCTACCGTTAGTGGACCACAATAGCCCAGCTCTGGCTACTGCAGCAGGTTGAACTCATACCTGAGCAGAATAGATGCAGATGTGCCAAATGAATGACCCGCAGCATCTCTTCGCATGTCCACTGAACCCCACCCTGTTAACGCCTCTGTCCTTATGGACAGACCCCATCGAGGCTGCACGCTTCCTGGGTCTACCGCTAGTATTTAGAGCTTGACGACAACGATTGAGGGACCAACCGATCTGGGCGGGGTTGTTGTAGCCTCTACAACAACAACAGCGGGATTTCTTAATATTTCGACTCCAGCGCCATCTATTGGATCGTTTTGTGCAGAAGTATTTCCTGTAATTATTATTATTATTAACGCCAATCGGCTTTGCACATAATATAATTATTAAATACAATAGTTAAAAAACGTGAAAAATTGGAAACATAACATAACGCTCTAACAATAGTAACATAAATAGTGTTATAACATAGACTCAGAGTATGGATTTTAAAGTACACATTAAGCCAGCGTAAGACCCTCCAAAGAAGTTTACATGAGGTGCGTGTTGGTTTACAAGATTGTTTATTCTGTTGTGTGGCCCAAAGGCGACGTAATTTCTGCTAGATTGCACAACATTGAGCAGTCTTTTAGCTCTAAGATCAACTCTAGAGCCGATGAATCCAAACTGCTCCAGTATTTCTGGGGAATCAATCAGCCCATTGACAACCTGGTAGAAGAAGGATAGGTCTGCTATTTGCCTCCTGCTACGTAGGCTTTTGATATTGTGATTGCGATATACATCAGTTACGCTCATATTGTTTCCGTCGTGCGAGTGATACAATAGGAACTTACAGAACTCGCGTTGAACGTTTTCGACGTTGCTGATTCATAGCTCTGTAAATGGTGACCAGGTAATAGAGCCATATTCAAGTATTGGCTGGACGAAGGAAAAAAATAGTCTGAGGAGTGTACGATCGTCTTTGAAATCCTTACCAAATCTACAAATAAATCCAAGGGCACGATATGCACGTAGAGTTACATGGTTAATATGATCGGAGAAGGTCAGTTTATCATCGATCATCACGCCAAGATCTTTTATCGAGTTGACAATCTGTATACTTTGACCGCATAAGGAATAGTTAGCGGGCAGTTCATTATGACGACGAGAGTACAGCACATTTTTTTATATTCGGGTTAAGCTTATTTATCGCGCACCATTCCTCTAGTTTTGAAATATCACGCTGTAGAGCTTCCATATCATTATCGCCACATATTGCTCTGAAGATTTTCATGTCATCTGCATATAATAAGTACTCGGATTCGAAATCGTCTCCAATGTCATTTATAAATATGTTAAATAGGATCGGTCCCAGATGAGATCCTTGAGGTACACCAGAAGTAACATCAAACTCATTTGATAAATGGTTATTAACACCGACTTGCAGGCGCCTGCCAAACAAGTACGAGCGGAGCCGGTTTAAGGCTTTCGATCGTACACCATAATTACTTAATTTTCTGAGCAGAACTTCATGGTCAACCATGTCAAAAGCCGTGCTGAAGTCGGTGTATAAAGAATTTACATCGAGACCATTGTTTAGCGCGTTTAGAATGAAGTTTACGTAGAGATATAGATTAGTTGACGTAGATCTTCCACCGAAGAATCCATGCTGCTTTGAGGTGACAGCATTCTTAAATGCAGAGGTAAGTTGCGGTAAAACAATTTTTTCAAGTAACTTAGCAAGTGAGGTTTGGATACATATTGGCCTGTAGTTGTTGACCTCAGCCTTATCACCCGATTTATGTATAGGAGTAATGTATGACAGCTTCCATAGTGAGGGAAAGTAGCCTGTTTCAAGCGATTTTCTGAAGATGTGCGTGATTGGCTCACAAAGACCAACAGCGCAGTTTCTCAGAAAAATGTTGGGTATCCCGTCCGGTCCAGCGCCCTTGTTGAGCTTGAGCATTGTCAGTTGGCGAAATACTTTATAGAAACAAACTTCAAAATTACATACATCCACATACGGATAAATACTTTTACTACTGTGAACGACAGGAGCAGCGGGTTCATTATATGTGCTCTTGAAGAAAGATCCAAAGAGATTACTTACGTCAGTGCCTTTACTCGCGGTGGTGTCGTTCCAAGTCACGGTTGAGGGGATGTCAACGTCGGTTCGCCGTTTGTTCTTCACAAAACTCCAGAATTTCTTGGGATCAGATTTCAGGTCATATTCTACTTTGCTCAGGTAACTCTCATAGCATGAGGTGCTCAGTTTTTTGCATTCGGATCTTAATCTACTAAATGCGGCGTAATTTTCTTGGGTTTTCCTTTTTTTGTATTTTTGATGGGCAATTTTCTTTTGTTTAGTTTTATATATTAATTTTTTGGAAAACCAGCACGGATATTCAGCGTTTTTCTTATAGCATAATGGCACAAATTGAGTTATGCCCAAGCCTACTATCTCGTAGAACCAATTTACTTTGTCATTAATATTGTCAAGTTTATATAAATCTAACTAGGTAATTCTCAGGAAGAAACTATTCAATGCTGCATAGTCGGGCTTTCTAAACGCATAGGCAGGCGTATCATTCCGCTTCAAACTAACTTGGAATTTATGTAGAACAACTAACGCGGGGTGATATATGTCCTCCTGAATAATAGCATGCGTCTTATCAATCGAGAGATCTAAATCAGTGAAGCACAAATCCAATATACGTCCACGGTCATTGCAAATGTTGTTGAGCTGGCTGCATCCAGCTAGGAGAAATTGCTCATACAATAATGTTTCACACTCTAATTGTGGCAAACTACTTTTAAGATTATAATCGCCGATTATCATTAGTTTACTGTTTGCATACTTATCTCTGATGTAGGATATGGTTGCTAAATGACTGCGGTATATGTCAACGAATATGCAGCGCTTGACGGCAATGAAGACACCACCGCCTCGTTCATATGTGCTGGTCACTGGATCTCTATCCTTCCTGTATATTGCATACGAGCTATCAACAACTTCACCATCCAAAATAGATGGATGCAACCAAGACTCTGATATACATAGCACGTCACAATGCCAACATGCTGAAATAGATAGAAAGTCTTTCAGTTCAGTTCTCAGTCCTCTTACGTTCTGGTAGTAAACCAGCAGATCTTTGATTTTTGTCCTTTTTATGGTGTCCCCGAAATCCATACACGTTCACAATCCTTGGAATACCATTGATGTACTTGATCGTCTTGTTGGCTTCACCATTACTTTTAAGAGCCTCTAGCTCGTTTCTAAAATTATTTAGATGGGTTTGCTGCGAGCGAGTCAGATCTGGCTTAAAATGTACGTTGTTTATGTTGCTTGTGGGTTTAGTTCTGAGAATTCTCCTAGCATCAACGACCGGCGGTGTATCAATCAGCAAAGGGCGAGTTTTACCATCTTCTGGGCGACCAATTCTGCGCAGTTTCATGTTTGATACAGTATCGGCAAGCTCAGATGGTAGCAGTGTGGCAATGAGTGAGCGATCATCTTTCAGTCGCTCAGTCCCCACTTGCTTTCTCGACTCAGGAACATTGAAGGCGATAACATTCTTTTCGCGCTTTTTCCTGTCAAAAGATTCCGCAATAATGTTATCGACGTCGGAAGTACCACCTTCGAATTCTTTTAACTTGCTCTCAACAGCACTAATTCTTTTATCCAGTGAGGCACACTGCTTGGTTATGCTCAAATTTTGCTTGGAAATACTCTCGAGCTCAGATTTAATGTTGCCCAGAGTTTTTTCAATATTATTTTTAAAAGGTGTAAAATACTTATGGAAAACGCTATCTAGTTTTGAGGCAATGAGATCGTCATTAGGGCAATCGTCCTCCAGATCATCGGAGACAATTACGCTGGCATCACTCTTGCAATTATCACAGCTCCATTTGTATTTATTTTTCTTTATTTCAGTTGCAATTTTTTTAAAGTCCTTAGAGTTGATGCCCGAACATTTTTGGTGTAGCCAACTATTACACATAGTACACAGAATACTGGACATATTTACTTTAATTGTATCGGTGCAAGCACTGCAAATGTATGAGACAGGCGCCATCTTTGTTGTTGTAGATACCCATTATAAATTTCAACCAGATGGTACAACAAATACGGATTTTCTTAATATCTCAACACAATTTTTTATACATAGCTGAAATTACTTCAAAATCTAATACCAGTATAGATTTGATTTATTACTTAGAAATTATTCAGATATCTGTGAAAGAAAGTTACATTTCATCTAAGTAAAACCATATAGAAAAAAAATCTCAATTTTAGTTATTCAATAAGTTTTTTAGCTTTAAAATATCTGCGTAAATATAAAACCTGCCATGTAGCTAGACCAAGTAAGCAGCACATACTAAAGATGCTAAAAAAGAGAACACGACTATTGGTTTTTTCTGTAAAATAAATGTAAAATTTGGTAAATATAAATAAAAATATATAAATGAATTTGTGTACCGTTTGTGTCCCTCATTTCTTCCTCTCTTTTCCGCATTAAAGCAAAATCTCGTACAATGGAATCGGATAAGTCTTCCAGACGTTTAAGCTCCACTTCCATGGGTTTAAGTTTTGCTGCTTCTTGAATCTAAAAAAAAGGTTCATTTACTTTCATCTGTAATTTACAATAAGGCGAATTATTCGAAACAACTAAAAAAATACAAAATAGATTCACTAGCCCTAGAAGAACATAAAATCATGAACCCAAATAATCAATTGAAGTATGTACATATACCTTGATTCGCCTTAATCGCCAATTTTTTTCTTGGAGGTCGGAGTTTATTAGGCATGTTCTACAAATCGTAAGATTTGTAATCGGTGAAAATTTTGGAGATTTCTTAACAACAAAGGAAAAATTCGGCGTTAAATCGATGGATACGACGTAAGTGATGTGTTTTTAGCAGTTTCCATTGAAAATAATTACTACTTTAATTACAAATATTCAAATATCCGGACTTGTGAGCACCGAAGAAGCTCCATTTTGATCGCAATCGAAAATTAAATGAAAAAATTTTATACCGCTGTAACTTTAGACTAGTCGCCTATTGTTTGTGATATTAAAGCGTATAAGGGTGTGTTAAATTTACCGATCCATCTATGAAAATTACTAGTGAGTCTGTCTCAATTATGAATTGCAAGCAGCTTTGGGCATATGCTTGCTCAGAATGAGAGTTCTTTTTGGTTGTGTTAACTGATGTGTCTACTGTCGAGTTGTATTTTTTTTGCGGTTTTGTTGGAAGCAATTGTTTTTGGTCCTACAAGAAGGCCTGTTGCTAATGTGATTTTGTAAACATTGAGTCATCTTTTTTGTGTTCCAGACAGTGTTGCCAGGACTTCAAAAATAAAAAAGCTAGATCGGCCTAATAAAATAGCTAAAATGCTAAATGGCCCAAAAAAAGGTTAAAAGAGGCCAGCCTTTTCAACATTTCATTAACTCTTTATGTACAAAGAGGAGGTAAAAATGTACCACCGAGCAACAAAAATGTAAATATCTCGACAACCAACGTATTTACGATCATCAAATTTCATGAAAGCCTTGTGCAAACATTTTTTAACACCATACAGTTTAATAAAACCATTTTAATAATTAACGCTACTCTTTTTTAGGGTCTCAAAACCCATAGTCCTTAAAGACAAAGTAGTGGTACATTTGTACCACCAAATATCTTCATACATTACAATACGATTACAATCGTGAATGTTTCAATTGGAGCGTGCATAGTGAAGAGCAAATGTTTTTTTTTTTTGTTTCCGAATTATGAAAAGGCATCTGCGAAGTGCAGAACGCAATCTTACTCCAACGAAAAAATCTCCAAAATTGGACTAGTCCAGGACTATATTACGGTCAGTGTTGATTGGACCCATGATGCAATAATACAAGGTGGTATTAGTTGTGACAGCTCGATTTGACACTACCTTAGCTCAGTAGAATAAGAGGAAAAACGGGAAGAAACGAATCCCCATTTGGGGGAAAAATATAAAATTTCATATTTTCTTCTAAACAAACTTTTGCTTTTTTTATAGTATATTCGTAATAAAATGAAATAAAATAGGATAAAATACCTTTTTGAGAAAAAAATTTTTTATAAGAAAAAATAAAAAAAATTAGGCAAAGAATTGTTAAAGAATTAACACTGTTTCACCTAAGGCAGTCAATATGGCGGAATTAGAGCGAGAAGTTGCCAACCGATTACACCTTGTATTATTGCATCATGGATTGGGCCGATCCTTTTCCAATGACACGCCAATGCTAAAAATGGCAGTTGAAACCATTCACAGAGGAATTCTGAGGGACTAGTGCTGGTAACAATAGGGACTATCTGAGGGCTAAACTAGGGTGAGTCTGAATTGCTGCAGGGTAACCACTAACATACAATACAACCATACGCAATATCTCCCCCAGTAGCGAAAATGGTCACCGGTGACATCGTCACTAATGAGGATTTAGTGACATCGTCGCACTTGCTGTGAATCCTAAACGACATATAGCTGACAATGACACTGGTGACAATGTCATGCAGGTGTACTCCTATCAAAGACTTATAACAGACAATGTCTTGCAGCGGTCACTTATAAAAAGTCTATTGCAAGATACTGTCGCTGGAATGTCATTAATGATCACTGCATGACCAAGTCATGAGATGACATCAACGACGAAATTACCATTTATATGAAAAAGTCATTAACGACTTCCATACAAACGGATCCCAAAGTCATTTAAGACGTAACTTTTCCGTACAAGACTCTTAAGTGACTAATGCATGACATTCGCAACGGGGCCACTATGCACATACACACGTAGGTATAGACGTTCAAAATAAAGCACACAAATATTCGGGCTTAAATGGAGATGGCTCTATAAAATTAAACCAGACTCTATTTGATATATGGGTTAAAACCCCAAGTTTGACTAGATTTGATGCATTATTAATTTGCCAGTTATAAAATCTGAATTCGAAAAAAAGTATATATTACGAGGGAATAAGTGAATACAATGAACTGCCAAGTAATATACAAGACTCCAACGACACAACAAAGTTTAAGAAGTTATTGGCCCTTATTATGAGCTGCATTCGATTTTCGATCTTCGCTGGCTATCGAAGATCGAAAGTGAAATTCGTATTATGAGCTATGCAAGCGTGTCGAAATTTTCGTTGAGTATCGAATTTTCTGTCGAACAGAATTTTGCTTTCGATGGTGTAGCGAAGTGTTAGAAAATTGTGAAAAATGTATGATTTTGTATAGGTTTTCTTACATTTTGGCGGCTAGACACTAGTTTTAAACAATTTTTATTAATTTCATGCAGTTCTAACATCGTGAATACTAAACACAAGCTCCAAAGGCTGGTTTTACTTGTGAAAGAAAATCCCAATACTCTGTTGGCACGATCTCTGAGAACAAAATCGTAGCGCTGTTGACAGTTTTAAAATATTTTAAATAGATTTGGCTCACAAACGCCTCTTTAGATGGTCGGAACTTTTTAATGAATCTGTAGACAAATTTCTTAAGTATATTTTAAATCAAAATATATTCGAAATACTAATAAACTTAAACTCTCTTAAACATTTGCTTCTCCTGGCCAGTTCACTAAGCTCCCATCCTCTGACGAATCGTTGAACCAGAACTCGTTGTACTCATTTTACCACGTTTTTATAAACTCGCTTTCCTTTTTATTTAATTTTAATTAGAACAAATTTACATAAATATGTATAAGCACACTATTTAGTTTGCTCGATTTGTAAACAAAGCTTCTCAGCGGTGAATAATATACTATTGTGAACAACCTAAACGAGCGAAATTCACAATAGCGCTATTCTTCATCGAATGAGCGCGATAACACTGAATGAAAATTCGTTCGCTCAGCACTTTCGACCACAGTCGAAAATCGAATGCAACTCATAATAAGGGCCATTGTTTAACTACTGCAAGTCTCTACCAATTAGATAATTATATATACATAGATACTTGTACATAGGCTGTGTTATAACCAGATTAAAAAGACTAATTTAGAAAACTGTAAAAGAAAACTGAAATTACCCTTATTTCTACTTTTAATGTATAAGTGTTGATTTTGTAATATTTGTTATATATGTTTATATGTGTATAAATATATGTAGGTCAAACGACCGTAATAAATAAATAAATAATTACCATATGGTCGGTGATACTGCAAAACATTCTATGTCACTTATTACCTCTGGTGCTTAATTGATCTTTTATTTGTATCTGATCGCTTCTGGCAATCGTTCATCTTCAACAGCCAAAAGTAGACAGTTTTGTCATTCGTTTATTAGGGTGTAACGATTTGCAGATGCATTCCGGTGCAAGTAAGAGACCATCTAAGTGTCAAGGCTACTAAAGACATAGACCGTTTTCCAGTATCTCCGACGATATGTTTTAGAAATAATAGATGACTATAAACTATACTTTCAATGTAAGCTATTTGCTTTCGGACTTTTGACTTCAGAGTTCAAAACAAGTATAATAAAAATAAGTTCAGGAACGAATTTCCGTCATCCATTGTCGTTCCAAAACACATCATACACCTACCCTTTCGGAAACAACAATAACCAAAAAGGAAAAATAAGTTCTTTATCTCATTCATATTATTACTTTGTCGTAATATGTTAAACGAGCATGTAGAAATAGTTTTTTGCATCTAAACGAGGCATGTTTAGCGCAGGCAGAACTGTCAAAATATGAATATATTCTCCCCTAATCTAGAATATTTTAAAATTAAACTTTACGTCTTAATATCCGTATGTAATTTTTCCAAACGAACTCGGTGTTACAGTGTCAAATTGACACTGCATATAAAATGCATTGTTTTAATGTGAAATTAATTAAACAATATTTGTTTTGGTGAAAAATGTGCTGGAATATGAATAAAACTTCGTTTTTTTTTAGGAAAAAACTATTTTCATTTATTTCATACTAGCTTTCACTTGCGGGTTTCACACCACGTTTTTAGGCAAATAATAAAAGTAATTTATGTAAAGATGTTATATTTTATTTCTGTTTAAATTTTCCTATAGCCGTGATAGCAGAATGCAGTAAGATAATTGTATAGCTTGGGTATTATGGAATGAAATGCGATAATAACTTTTTGGCACAGCAGGTGCTTTTATTTACATTAAAATATCTCCAACAAATTATATAATAGAAGAAATAACAATGTTGTAATATTTAAATTTAAGCTATCTAACTTCTTTGGAATAGTAACTCTAATATTATTTCACAGCATGTTTTTAATACTTCAAAGCATGCACTACATTACTGCAATTATCGTATATTTTATTTTCGACAAAGTTTTGGGTTTTGTTTTAAGGAATTCTTGTTTATTGTCATTGCAAAAATTAGCGAACTGGAAACTGAAGTCCTCTAAATTCGAAATGCTTATCAGAAGGAATTTAAGGGGTGTAAATTGTGGTTCCGAAGTTATGGCTGATAAAAAATTCCATGCCTGAGTCATGTGCTACGACCCCTTCTACAAACCCCTTTATATATATATACCTTACTATAAGCACCTACCATAGATATGTCTGCATACCAAATTTCAAGTTTATGTGACTTTTCCGAAGCTATGGC